GGCCTCTAAATATAGAACACATACACCAACCACTTTGTTATTAAAAGCCACACAGGAAAAGAAAGAAGGAGAGCCCTTCCTCCCCTGAACCCAGGACATTCAAAGAGATGACTCAGATCTAGGTTGTATGGCGAAAGACGATAGAATTCAGCCTGTTTTACTCCCTGATCCCCAGGCTACACATTCCTTAAGGGGAAAACCAACACTGGCTCTGTTTACTTGGCAGAGATGTTGGGGCCATCAAATGGAACGATGTATGGAAAAGCACTGTTGTGAATACAAAAAATATCTAAATGAATAGTTGTATCATTACTACCTAGTGATAAAAGTAAGCAAAAGCAAACAAATATTAATTTTCTTTTTTTTTTTTTTTGTTTTTTGAGACGGAGTCTCGCTCTGTCCCCCGGGCTGGAGTGCAGTGCCCGGATCTCAGCCTCACTGCAAGCTCCGCCTCCCGGTTCACCCATTCTCTGCCTCAGCCTCCCGAGTAGCTGGGCCCCACAGGAGCCTGCCACCTCGCCCCGGCTAGTTTTTTTATTTTTTTAGAAGATACGGGTTTCACCGTGTTAGCCAGTTTGATGGTCTCGATCTCCTGACTTCGTGATCCACCCGTCTCGGCCTCCCAAAGTGCTGGAGAATTACAGGCTTGAGCCACCGCGCCCCGCCAAAATGTTAATTTTCTATGACTGTAATTGTTGCAAGATTATATACATACGTATTTCTAGTTTTAAATGACTCACTAGGAAAGCACTGCAATATGAAGTTATTTTAAGAAAAAAAAATTAAAAAGAACAAATCTTAACTTACCAAATAGAGAATTGTTTCTCCATTTACGAGATCCCAACATGTCCCCAAAAATCATCTAAAGAAATTCAGACATCAGGATATTTCAACACATGAAAGAAAGAAAAAGAAAAGACACTGAAAAATGTAAATGTCATCTGGAAGACTCTGATATATGTTATATAATCCATTTTTAAAGAAATAGGCAATATATTATATTAAATAACTTTATATGGTATCAAACATGTAAGTCTAAGAAACCACATGGGGAAGAGCAACCT